GTGGAGTTTACATTTTTTTTTCAGGTAAAAAAAACGTACCGGTGGAGTTTACATGAAAAAAGGTCTAAAAAGGTCGCAATCGGTGGAGTTTACATGCGCCCTGTTTGCCCACATTAAGCGGTTGCCCATAAAAACCGAAATTAGTAAAAAAAAAAAATTATAATAAAAAAATATATTTGTATTATCATATAATTGAAAAAAATTTTAAATAATTACTAGATATATAAATAAAACTAAATACATATAATATATTAAATAAAATTAATCTTTGGATGTAGAAGGTATACAAAACGTTGTAATTTTTCGTTGTCTAAGCTGTTTAATATGGATCTGGTTGACAAAATAGGCATACGCTTCAAGTTTATCAGACGGACTATTTTCGTTTCCCTCTTGCATGAAGAACTTCTGCAAGAAATCAATGCACTTTTTCGCCTCTCTTTGGCGAAATTTATTTATCTGAATGGTAATGATTTTTATTACTTTCGATAAACACAATCTCATAGATACGACGGAACCCGATTAAATTAATCGTTTTTAAATACTTATATGTGTATATTCTAACGCTATGATAAAAAAAATTGCCCACATAAACCGAATCGAGTGTCCATATTACGCGGTTTTATTTGACATTGTTAATATACATTTGTATTGGGACCAGACATATTTGCCCACAATAAGCGGATGCCCATATTAATCGGTGGCCACATTAAGCGGAATCCACTGTAGTGGTTTATTTACAAATATCGAAAAATAAATCCAAGATAACGATTAGGTATATACAAAATTTATAATTTATTTTAAGCCGTATCTGGGGACTACACAATAGAAGCATTATCCATTATCCAAGCATTAATAAACAAATTTATTCGACATGAACTACCCAACACGTCTTCTGATAAATCTTTGCATAATCTGAAATAGATTTTATGTTTAGAATCATGAGCAAACAATTTAATATAACAATCAATAGCTAGGTAAACGGTAAACAGAATTTATTAAATTATTGAATAATATTAATCGTAGATCACTAGGTGGTGAACAACTGAAGAAATCGATTGTAATACTAAAATTCAAAAGATTATCGTAGATTTCAAATTACAATCAATTTTAAATAAAGTCTTCGTAATAGATTTTTTCTTTTTTGGAAAATACACTGAAATAGATAATTATAGAAATAAAATAATTTTAATGTATTAATAAGAATATCTATCGATACTAACCTATTATAAACTATTTATTATAATAATTTAAAAATAATAAAATAAAAAAATGGCTTTTTAAAAAAAATTTATAATTATATAAGAAACTATAGTTATTTAATTTATACGCTATGAATATAATTATAAATTATTTAATGTATTTTTTCTAAATAAAATTTCTCGTAAAAATTTAAACTAGATCGGAATTAACGTTTCAAAAGTAAAAACTAAAACAAATTTAACCCTATATTGTGCGTTTAAGTTTATCTTATATTTTTTTAGACGCCGATTAAAATAATTATATTTTTAAAACGAAATTTACCAACATATCATATTTTATATATTAGTGACCTACTTAGTAATCTAATTTGTCTTGAGTTAAAAGTTGAAATTTATTCATAACATTATAATTTCCACAATGAATAAAAATTACAATCAAAATTTTAAAGAAAAAATGAAAATTTATCATATTATAACTAAGTAAATTATTTTTAGTTCTAATTTTAGATTACTATTACATTTATTATTTTAAAATTAAAACATAAGGCACAAAAAGTAATGTTAAGTCATTGTAAGCTCTACTAAAATAAACATAAATTATATAGTATAATATGTGTACAATTTTTAAGAAGATGTTGAAGAATAAATAAATAAATAAATAAATAATTTTTACTTAATAAACACGATTTACAGTTTTGTACAACTCGATGAAAATGTTTATAACATTAAAAAGGATAATACATAAATATTAGCTTTCGAAATAATATTAAAAATAATTCAAAAAATATACATATATATTATTTAACTGGCTAACTAAAAATATATTTTTTTACACATTAATAATTTTATTCATTGTATATTTTTTAAATTTGAAAACGATGTTTAATTTTTCAGTTATAAATTGTAAATACCATATTTTTTTATAATTTTTCAACCATAGTTTTTAACAAAAATTTGACCATTTTTAGATTACTAACTGTACTCAGAATACTATTTTTGAGTGTAAATAAAATATCATTAGATTTAATTTCAATGTTAACTTAAAATAAATGATTTAAAGAGTAAATTAAAACTGGACAATCTCTATTTTATAGGTGCACACAATACAGTAGGTATAATACATTTATATTGTATTATAACACGTTATATCTGTGATTAAACTAATGAGTTTCTAACTTAATTATAAAACTAACTTAGTGGCTTTAAATAAAAGAAATTAAGAATAACTAAAATCGATATTACTTCAAAAGTAATTGTTATAAGAAATGATAAATATATAATTTTATCATCAGTATTATCATTATAAAAAAATTTTAAATTAAAAAAAAAGAATTATTAAAAAAAAAAAGTTCAGTTAATCATAATGCTATACCTACTATTATGATGATGTTTTAAGAATGAAAAATAATATTTAATTGTGGTGTTTCTTGTTAGACTCGCAGAATATTCTGAAAGTTTTCAAACACCTATACATCTTGACATACATAAATAGAAGGGTTTCTCTCCAACAGGTCGATATCTTTTTCCAAATTATTAAGTTGCTTTTCCAACATGGTTTTCCTTTTCATTTTTGGTACTGTGTCAGTGAGCATTGGCAACAGCAAAAACTCCTTATGAAGTTCAGCCCAATTAGTCTTCAGTCCCTGAGTAAAAATATGTACTTTATAAAGGTCAACGAAACGGTACACACACAACAGGAAGGTAAAAAACAGAGATAGAGAATAAAATAAGAATTAAGTATTTAAAATAAATCGGTCGAGCCTTTACGTTCAATAATTCGCTACGTTCAGCTTCGGGCAAATAGCGCAATGACGGTTTTACAGCTAGCTTTCGCTCAGTCTCCATTAGCTGGGCCATTTCTTTTTCCTTGTACATTTTAACGATGTATGACGGTATTTTTCCATAGTTCTTAAAAAAAATTATTATTATTATCAAATATTGTAATATTGTTTCATTACGTATTGACAAAAAATATAAAATATTATAACGTATAGTTGTTTATAGGATAAAGTTATCTGTGCTCAAAAAGTACTATTTCAATAAATAAGGAATATTTTCATATTAGTTTGTTTTTTTTAAGTACATCGCCAGAATAAAAATATATCATTGAAGTAATGATTACTTTTGATTATGTAATCATTTTTTGTTTTGTTTTACTTATTTATTTTCGTTCAATTTGTATTATTACAAAAATTTGTCTAAATAGTAAATATTAAATATAAAAAACTCAACGCTCAACATTTTTTTCTGTACTCCTGTGCTTGAAATTTAAATAGTTGTTGATGACTTAAAATTAGACAAGTAAAAAAGGTTAAAAATTGATTTTTTTCATAAGGTCTTAACTTTTTAATTATAAATATATTATATTCTATTTTAAATTTATAACCAAGAAATTTGTTAATACTTTATAAACGGAGCTAAACAAGCTTATTATAAACTAAAGCTAGGCTGAATTAACTATCATCTATTTTTTTTATAAACTTCATTATTTCTATGGATAAAATAAACGTTATGTTTGTAAAAATATGGAAGTAACTATATAACTAGACCCATATTTATGATAATTTATTCTTCTTCTCACACCAATCATTTCTATAGCTTCTCTAATGTATTACTTGTTTAAGTCAAACATTTTATGATTCAAAAAGTATATACATACAAAATATTATAATAAAATAACACACCTTTTTAGACACATATGTTGGCTCCAAACCGGCTTCGTTCAAAACAATTATGTGTCCGTTCCTAGTATCTTGGACACGATGCTTCGGCAACGGTGGCACCCTCTTTATTACGTCTATGATATTTGTTTGTCTAATGTTTTTCCGCGTTTTTGTTGGTAATTTTTTAGAAGTATTTATTGCTGCGCCGTCGCACGGTCGCTGAATCGATTTTCTAGCACAGCATTTAGTTTTATTTATTTCTGAAAAATCACTTGGTTAAATATCAGTATTTAAAAAAAAAATTGTGACTCGATAGTATTCAAAATTTTAAAATATCACTAATCCTAATTATTTTCATGGATCAACTTTTCCTTATCACATTTTTATTATAATATTCATTTTTTTTTTTTTTTTTAATCATTCATATTACGTATGGTATATTACATGCTCAACATCCATTTTATTTAATTTTTATTTATCTTGATTCTTTCATACAAGATTCTAAGAAGTATGAAAAACCCATTCAAAAGCATTGCATTTACAACCCTGATAGTATCAACAATATTGCAGTTTATATAGACCTTACCAACAAATGGTCTCATCTCTTTTCTGGTGTGTTTCTTAAGAAACTGTGACGGTGGATCGAGTTCGACTTCAGCATAGCCCATAGTTTTGTGACAGTTATTGTTTGAGTTGTACGTCCTCCTTACAGACTCCGTGTAAATCGAGCGGTACATCGGTGGTTTTAGGACAGGTGTTTTCGGTTTCGGGATCAAGTGTTTAATATTTTCCTGGAATTTACTCATCGTTTAACGTAACACGAAATTTGCTTTAATACTATATTGTATTTACGATAGCTTAACTAAATGCAAATATATTACGATGTAACAAGTACCGAGTCGGTTTTGGTGTACCGAGTATTTGTTGGATCAATGCGATGATAAACTGACACCAACATTTTAACTATAGCAACGCTCGCTACAGTATGTCGGAAAACATATAATTCAAGTATTGCAATCAAACACATAATAGTATTATATTATCACGAATTTCTTCACCCAACATAATATAAAGTTAGTACACATAAACGTCTATATTGATAAATGTTGGTATTAAGTTAACATCAAAAAAACTAATTTATTATGTATATATTACTTCCTAATTATACGTATTATACTGTATAATAGTATATTATATCTATTAATTATTTTTCCTTAAAAAAAAAAAAAACGCATTTACAAAGTTATTAAATTATATTTTGTTCATATTTGAGTAACGAGCTATTTGAATATTACTCTAAATTATTGTATAGGTCAGGTAGTTCAACGTTTCAACAAACATAATATACGGGTAAATAAATTATATTAATATAAATGTACGTTATAATATTTGAAAAATAATTACATGTACCCAATTCCTTTGGTTATTAAGAAAATGTTATTCAGAACTATAAATAAACTGAACAGTATCAATAAAACTCACATTCAATACAATATAATAAATAATAAATACAATTCATGATAAAATATAAATTGTTTGAATAAACATTTTATAACATTGTTTATTTTATAAATATTATAATAATATAATCATACTTCACAATTCATAAATAATATTATCATAATATGTTCGTAAAGTATGCGGAGATATTCAATTTTATATACTTAGTAATTTCAGTAAAGAATATTTTTGTTCTAACTATAGTATATTATTGAAAAAAATAACCAGAAAATTCGCTGTATAGTGAATTTTAGATGTAACCTGTTATCATAACATTTCAGAGGATATTTTTTAATACATTAAATATTTGTATTGCTTTAATACTATCTGCTATTATAACAACTATAATAATAAAGGTTGAATGCGCCAGGTTTCATAGGTTTAATTATCAATCTAAATATTTTGATAATTTAATTTTGTTGGAAAGAAAATAATTATGTAATATAGTTTATATTTATACGTAATGGTAAAAAATTTCCAAGTTCACACTAATAATATTTTTCAAATTACAACTAAAATAATTAATAACTAAATTCGTAATTTATCACTTAAATATTCAATTTCATTAAAAGTTCTAAAAGATTTAAAAAAAAAAAAAAAAAAACTTTCTATGTTTGATATCATAAAAATAGCAAAAAGATTTAGATTTTGAAAACCGTAGTATATCTAGAAAATACCCAAATAAATAGTTTGTTAAAACTTTAAGTCTCAACAAAAATTACTGATTTATTTATTATTGTAAAAAAAAAAAAAAAATAAATAATCAAAAAAGACAGTTAGAACGTGTAATAATTAAATAAGACATACCGTCTTAAAACTGAGATTGTAAAAAACCATAAGAAGTTTGGTAAAGTATCGGTTATGTACTTTTTTTTAAATGTACATACTATCATTTAACTATTAGTCTCAAAAAGTTTGTTTAAAAGTTAAAACTTATTAATCAAATAATAATTTAAAGCGTCATTTTACAATTATAAATTATCATTAATAAGCTATGAATAAAAAGCTAAAATTACAAAAAAAAGAAAAAATGTATTGTGGATCAATTTATCTATTACTTTCCTTAAACAAGACTACATAGTTTAGTATGTTTTACATGTCAATCATTTTAAACGTAATTAATGAACTACTAAAAAAAATTGATTGAAATTTGCAAGGAAAAACTATTTTAAAATGATAAGCGTTGTGTAATGATACATGATATATAAAATAAATGATTTGTTATTAAAAATAAAATACTTTAATGCATAGGTATACACATAACCAAGGCTTGCGACTAAAAGCATTTGCTAATTTTTATGGATTGACTTAAAATGTGACAGAGTGGTATAGAAGTGTATGTCATGTTACTACACGTTCAATTATGAAATGTTAAAGTGCTTTTTATTTTGCTTTTTTTAACTATTTAAAAAAAAAAAATGCTTATTTCCAGTTTTTCTGATTTTTTAAATTTTTTGACCAGTTTTTCTACTTTTTATGGTTTTCTTTTTGCAATGTTGTTTATGATAGAATTAACAATAACAAGGCAAATATCTTGAAAGTAAAATTTGATTTTTTTTTTTATACTATAAAGATTTTTTTTTTTTTTTTTTTTTGATTTTTTTTTTTGTAAGTTTTTTTTTCCTTTTTTTTTTTTTTTTTTTTTTTTTTTTTTTTTTGTTATCTTTTATTAAATTGCTTTTTAGCATAGTTATAAATAATGTCTAGTACTTTATCATGTAAAAATAAAGTTTTTTTTTTTTTTATTAATAATTATTTTTGCACAAATTTAAGTTTTGTATATACTTATTTGAGTGCTTATAACGATGTTTTTAAGCGCTTATTTTAATGATTTTAAATGCTATAAGTTTCGAGCCCTGCACATAACAACAAAAAAAACACAAATTTTCCAAAATTCAAAATATATTATTAGTTTTTATTAATCTAGATTATATGATTTGATCTGCCGTTTAATAAATTATATTTATAATATAAGCATATTATGTCTTTTATACATAATATACATATAACAAGATATTATAGTGTAGAGATGATTTAAAAGTATGGATAATTTAACAAAAACAATTTTAAATTAATTTCTGTGTTTTTGTAATACTATATATCTTGTATGACAAAATTTTGTATTGTTACAACTGTTGCCGTTTTACTAACTCATAGTAACATCCTTTTAACTTTTGTAACTCTTCGTGAGAACCAAGTTCAGTGATCTGCCCTTGCGAAACAACAGCAATGTAATCTGCCGATTGAATTGTTGACAGACGATGAGCGATTGTAATACATGTTCTACCTTTCCTAGCTTCATCTAAAGCTTCTTGAACAATCTAAAAATCAAATACCATAATTGTTGTGTTTAGACGCTTTTTAAATAATTATAATAATTATTGTCAACTTTAAATTATTAAATCATTTTTAAATTATGTACTGCACTATAAACAAAATTGACTTAAATAAATATATAGAATATTTGATTAATATAATATACACATTATAATTTTATGAAAATGATAACGAAGGTATGCCATAATAATAGTATTTATTTTAATAATGAATTGGTTATTAAATATAAATTAAGGTAATTATTTCAAAACTTGGGACTTGCATTTTATTTATATATGTATAATGTATAAACACCAACTTAGTACATATTATTGTATACTTGAATTTCAAATTTTGAAATTTAAGATTTTTAGAAAAAAAAAATATTACTGGATGCTGGTGGAGAACTTAATATGAATGAAAAATATAACATATAATGTTAATAAATGTTTAAGATTAAACAAGTGTAAAAAATTGACGAGTATAATTTTATATATTTTATTGAATTATAATTTATAGCTAATGAAATATTTTTCGTATAAAATATCTTACTTTCTCACTTTCTGTGTCCAATGCTGAAGTAGCTTCGTCCAACAAAAGTATTTTAGGATTTCTTACCAACGCTCTAGCTATAGCAATTCTTTGTTTTTGACCACCAGATAACTGTGTACCTCTGTCACCAGCTATTGTGTCGTAACCCTACAAATTTTATATTTTATTATATACTTACTTTAATTACAAAAATAATAAATTCAACGAAGAATTTTATTTTATTATATACTTGTGGTAGATTCATTATAAAATTATGCGCATTTGCTTTTTTTGCAGCTTCAACTATTACATCAAAAGGTACATCATTAGTAGATACACCATAACTTATATTTTCTTTAATAGTGCAGTCAAACAACACAGGTTCTTGAGTAACTAGACCAATATTATTTCGCAAATGTTTGATGTTTATTTTCCGGATGTCATTACCATCTACTTCCTAAAAGTTAAAATTAATAAAATTCGTAATTATTTTTAAACGGTTATATTATTTATAAAATGATGGATAATAATAAAACTCACGATCACACCAAAAGAAGGATTGTAAAATCTCTCAAGAAGTGAAATAACCGTACTTTTTCCACAACCCGATTCGCCAACTAATGCTAATGTTTTTCCTGCTTCTACAGTGAAATGCATGTTGTTTAAGACTTTCTTCGCCTTTCTAGTCGGATACGAAAAACTAACGCCTTTAAATGATATTTTGCCTATTATTTCCTAAAAAAAAAAAGATTATACATAAACTATATAAATATGCATACCATAATATATATATAAATATAGGTAATTGTATTAAAAAGAAAAATAATAATACAAAATTGTAAAAATACCGGTTTATCCCCTTCGTTTGATTGACTATCGATTTCCGTTGGTTTTTCAATTAGCTGGAATATAAGGGAGGCGGAATGTTTTGCTTTAGCATAATCTTGTAGGAAAGCCATTGTATGACCGACAGAATGAGCAGAGAATGACAGTGCAAAAAAAACCCCTGTAAATATCAATTATATTAACTTATTGTTTGTTGTCAATCAGAATGCAGTTTTACTAAACATACCTATATACGGCGGAAGGTGTCATTTCTCCTTTAAGTACCAAATACGATCCATACTTGAATGCGACTGAATATAATATATATGTAATCGATTGTGATAGAGCAAATAAAGCCGCATATATGTATGCCTGTTTTTTTGCTTCTCTAATAAATAATTGAATTCAATTTAAATTCTACATTAATCACAAAGGCTATGGTTTAATTTTACTTGTTTGGGATTTTTAAGCTTTTATGATAGAGCTCAACAAACTTTTCCTCCTTTCCTAAAGATTGCACCGTACGCACATTCTGCACACTTTCAGTCGCAATCTAAAAATTAAACATGTTTTATCTTAGTTATAAAATGTACATGATATATTACTCTGCCCGCTTCGTCCATAAATTTCGCGTCTCTCCGTTGGTTTTTTCTAAGACCCATTTGTTGTTGGTATCCAGCGCCTATTATCAATGGAACAGCTAGGCTAAGAACTATAGCTAGTTTCCATCCAAAAATAAGCGCTATAAAAATAGCTATAGCGAGCGTTACAGTCGATGACATCACTTGACCGACACGCATTCCACCAGCCTAAATAAACAAACAATAAAAAATTAAATAAAATAGTAATAATAATTAATTTTAAA